GGGGGGGGGGGGAGGGTTAAAAATAAACCAGCAAAGGAAAATATATGCAGATAAAACTTTAGAATTAACAAAAAATAAATGGCTTTTTGAACTTCTTGGAACCACCAACCAGCCGGGGTTGCAGTTCTGGTGAGTATATCTCTGTTAGTTTAGCTCCCGATACAAAACGAGCACCTAACCATTGCAGTGCAGAGGTAGAGCAACTGCAAGGGTTAAGATTTCTTTTGCCTGGAGTTCTACTTTAAGCAAAAAGAGACCATCCAAAAATTGCAAAAGCAGCTGCACAGACCACTGAACTCAATGTTATTTTTCCAGTGGAAACCTGAAAGATACATAAGATGCTGTTTGGTAATTTAACTCTCCACCATCCTCAAGTGGTGAAACATCAGCCTGTGGGGGATTTAACCCTCAAATGACAAGAATTCATTCTAACATGTAGTAAAATATGGATTCCATGGCTCAGTTAGTTAGGATTAAACGCCAAAAACTTTTCCAAGGAAGGAGTTTTAAAGGCTGGGATAGTTCCTAATAATCCCAAAGATACCGAATTGTAGCCAAACAGAGTTACACTATGGTACGATGGTTCCAAGGTATCCACTGTATAACATTCTTTATTTTGGTTCACAGACAGTTTACATTGTCATTTTTTGGCTTCTCGGATGCTCAGGCTTGTCATTAGATGCATTGGTCATCGATTAAGAAACACATTGTAGCAGTAGTAGTAGTAGTATGAGTTCTAATAAAGTTTTCAAACCTACATCACAGGAGGTGCACACTGTCCTGACATTCCAAAACCCTCTGAAGGGAATTTATCAAAACTGGAGCAGACAAAATCTGGAGCAACTGTGCATGGCAATCAATCAGCCTCTCTCTTTAATTTTCAAATCATAACTGAACAAACTGAAGAGATAATCTGATTGGTTGCCATGCAAATCCGCTCCAGTTTTTGTCTGCTCCAGTTGTGATAAATTCCCCCCCACTGTGTCTTCACACATGTCCTAATAACTGAATATTGGGCTTTACTTTGCAGAAGAACACATAATTAGCAAAACCATCAAACTGGGCTAGGAAGGTGGAAGTTCCAATTAGGGTTGCACAGATACCAAGTACAGTACTCGGTACAAGTACGAGTACATGTACCCATACTTTTGAGCTCCAAGACTACACTAGAGAAAAATTCAAAAATTAGGAGGCAGCTGTCATGTGTAAGGAGCACACGGAGCTCCTGGGATTTGTACATCTCTGTTATAATGTACGATTTTGTTTTTATACATATAAATAAAGAGATGCACCGATACCAGTTTTGCGAATACGAGTACTGATACATTTTTGTTTATTGCCATGTGACAGTTTTTCTAAAACAATACAGACTAATGATTTCAGGACAGTGGTGGAGCGCCAGAGCCAGGTCCCAGCTGCAACCCGGGTAGTTCTCATGAAAATGCCAAGTATCTGTACTGGGACTCGAAAAGTATCTGTGCATCCCTAGTTCCAATCAACAACCCATATCAGCCATCCAGATTTAAGTTAGATACCATAAAATAAAACAAAACATATCAAACAAATCAGTTTCTGTGGGTTTCATTTCCTTTAGACATATGCTCAAGTAAACCTGGAATCAGATCCTGTGTAAGACATACAAATAATAACTATGAGCAATCTGCTGTAACCACTAGCAACCAACCATGTTTTATATCTGACTACAATAAACCAACATTGTAATGAATTGCCATGGCTTAGTAAACTTTGCACAGTCATGCACATATCATTAACTTCTGTCTATGTCTAGAAACATATGTTATCAATGTCATTAACAAGCAGTCTATCTCTAGAAACATTGCTGCAAACACACATGAAAAGAGAGTAAAACACATTACCTATGCAATACTGTAGAGCTAACAATTGCAAAGTCCTACCATGTATTGACAAAGGTGCCTACTGCCTAAAACAAAAGAAAACTGTGATGAGTTTTGGGTTATCGTCCCACATGGAAGGTGAACAGGCATCCCTGAAGAGGTAATGATCCGTGCTCCACCAAGCAAGATATTTGATTTTCCAGCAAAGCGTAAAGTTGAGTCCAACCACAACTCAAGGGCAGATTCAGCAAAGCAAGCTTCAGCCTTCTGTGTGGAGTTTCGTGAGTCTGGTGCACTCAGAAGGAGGTACTGAAGCTTACGTGGTGTGCAGATCTGTAAGAGGGTGGGTGCATGCATATAAGCCTTGCCTGTCATCCAAAGGAACACTGTATGGTATGTCTTCTGCCTGCTCTTTTCTAGGTCTTGCATTTGTCAGAGCTTTTTTTTTTTTTTTTGCAACTGATTGGCTCCCTACCTGTGCATCAGCCCCTCCTGATTAAGCCTTCTTCCTCATTGATGCTTAGACTAAGCTTGGCTAGACTTGCTCAGGTGCTCTTCTACCTGCAGTGGCAGTGATTAGGTCGTCCTGGTGCATTTAGTAAAGCCTTCCCCTTGCATCCATCTGCAAAGCCTCGCATGCAGACCCCACCTTCCATAAGTACTGAGCTTGTTTAGCAATGACATCTGCTCCAGTAAAAGACAAAAACCCGATTTAGCCCAACCAGGTGCCTTTTGTTCCTCTGGCACCACCTAGCCCCCCATCTCCTCATCCCTTCCCTTCTCTGTAGACATCCTGAGTTAGCATTGAACTTTGTCAACCTTTTGTGCAGTTCATGACTTGAGATCCTCCATGGGGAACCTACCAATTTATAAAAAGCTTTCCACAGGAACTGTGGGCGTTGAGCCTGGAGGAGCAGTGCCATGCCTGCAGTTACCTGCACAATGGACGGCTTTAGAGTTTCCCTTAGCAATGGAGTTTTGGTGATGGATCAATAAATATGATTTAGGAGTCACCTAGAATTGGAGCCACTGTAGGCTGCATGTGCATTCAAGGTTGAGTGTTTGCATGCTACCCATCTCCATTCAAGGTTAGGTGTTTGCAGTGATTGCATGCTACCCATCTGCAAGTACCATAGTTGCGAAGGCAATCCAAGACTGGCAATGGCTTATCAATGTGATTATTGCTCAGTAATCCACTTATGCTGCTAAAGAGGTTTAAAAAGGGGTCTTTTTAAGGCAGCCCCCCCTTTCCCCTTCCCCTTGCTTCACTCCCGTGCATGTGGCATTCAATCACTCTTAGGATTAACTCAGCGTGGAGGCTGTACTGGGGGAAGTACTAGGTGCAGCAGTGCAATTCTGCCTGCTGTGATCTGATCTGACTTTCCCATCTCAGCCACTTGATCGCTCTCACTGCAGAGACAGCGTCAAGCTTGCAGAGGAGAGAAGGAGAGAAGCTTTTTTTTCTTTCTCTTCCCCCTTCCATGCAGACTGAGGCAGGGCTCCTTCAGCTGGCAGGGATGGCTGTGTCACCGCTGGATGCAAAGCAGCCACAGACCTGTATCTCAGCCCCCAAGCTTGCTCAGCCCTTCCTGCAAGACTGACTTGCTGTGCATGCAGCATGCGTGTGCTGTTCTGTCAAGGCGGAGAGGGTGGAGGTCGGCTGAGCTGCCTACAGAAAGGGCTTTTCTGCGTTTTAACAACGACCAGTGTCTGTGTCTAGTGCCCAGGGCTTGTAACTGCAGCCCTGAACCCTCCCTGTGAGCACGCACAGCAGTCAAATCAGCAAGCCAGAAGAGGCTTGAATTGAACCTGCTGTTGACCTTCAGCACCCTGGACAGCGGCTGTGGGGAATACGCAGAGCTCTGGTTCAGCACCCTGGTCAGCGGCTGGAGGTGGGTTGGGGGGGGAATCAGCAGCTCTGGTTTAGCCCAGTGATCAGTGCCTGAGACCAGGATCTAGCACAGTACATTACACAGCCATCTGGATCTTTCCCCCCTCCCTTCCCCTCTGCTCAGAAATCTGGATCACTCACTACTCAGCGCAAGGATCTGGTTCAACACCTTGGAGAACGATCTGGATCAAGCGCCTGTCAATCAGCACCTGTGATCTGATAGGGGATCCAATACCTTACACTGCATCTGGATCCCACTAACCCCTCCTCTTGCAAAATCTGGATCACAACCCCCCCCCCCCCCAGACAGGGATCTGTCTCAGCACCTTGGACAGCGGGATTGGATTCACCCCGTCACCCAAAAAATTTGCTTCAGCAGCAGACTGGCTCCTTTTAAGTTCCCATCGTCTGCTAATTGGAAGAAGCAGCTAACAAACGCCCCGGAATACAAGTGCTGCACACCTAAAGGCTTCTCCATGGCTGCAAGCCCAGTGGGCACTGTGCTGGGCTGGGGTATGTTGCTGGCTTTGGCTTGAAGGAAAAAGGTTTTAAGGCTTAACCTGGATCAGGTACATTACAAGGTCACAGCACAATTTTTACCTGTCTACCTTCCACCAAGGGAAGCTGGGGGAAAGTTATTTGTCTCATTTGGATTTACTGCTCTAAGGAGGTCTGCGGACGCCTGAAACTGCTCTGTTTGCTTAAATGTCAATAATGATGTGTCCTCTAGACCAAGTTGGGGGCTAAAGGTGTTGTTATGTGAACAGGCTACCATGCTTAAGCTGTACTGTGCCTCCTTTCTTGCACTGGGGATGGTACCACCAACCAAATCTCCTTGCACCTGCCCTGTTTCCCCTCCAGTTCCCTCCAGATGTCGGTTTTAATGGAGCATACCCTTTGGATTACCTAGAGTGAAAAATCAAGGCTACCGTTCTAGAATGCCAGTGCTGGGTAATGGCAAAGGGCAGAGAAGTAACCAGGAAACAATTTGCAAGACTCTGAGATCCTCCCTTAGGCACCCCATAATAAATTTATCTCCAGGTAAAAGGTCCAACTGCAACCGTCTTGACTCTAAAGAGAGCAGGTAAACAGCAAGCTTAATGTTTCCATACAATTTTTGTGTGTGTGTGATCTATCTTGTCTCTTCTGCTTTAGCTGCATTGCAGACTGCTTTACTTATTAATGCTTTTTTTTTCTCTTCACATTTGTTAGTGTGAGCTGAAAATACCCAAGGGTTGCCCTTTGTATTTTGTTCTAGAGGAATAATTTCTATTAAATTGAAAAATAAATCTATACTGTAGCACTTAATCTATCCTTGGAAGAGGGGATTAGGTTACATAGCTTCCTGGACTTGAGCTGGATGCCAAGAGCTCCTTGCAAACCTGCAAGTCTGCTTTAGGGAGCAATCTATGTTTTTTGTTTTGTTATAATAGCATAGATTAGGTGGCATGTCCTGTTTGAGGAGAAAAAAAAAAAGATCTAACGGTTTCTTGATGCCTGTGATACTGCAATCTCTGTTCCAGATTTTAAAGGATCCTTTAGAATATAGTAAAATAAAATA